AATTCTCGCCGTACTGTATGCACAACTCGTCCATTACCGCGTTGGTCTCTGCTACGGTGCGGGTCTCGTGGATAGCTTTCATGGCTTTGCGACCCTCCCCGTCATATCCTGGCTTGCCAGAACATGTCGGGCACTCGAAGCGGCGGTATCCCTGCTTTCCGCAGCCAAAGCAATTGCCATTAAACGGCTTTTTCTCGCAAGGTGTGTACGGATGGTGTCGCGGGTTGGGATTCGCTCGCCCGTACACGTCTCCAAAGAGAACACGCCTGCCTAGGCTCTTGTCGCCTACTCTAGCTTGGCTATCTCGTCGCTCTGCACGCAGCTCCCGCCCCTTATCTTCCTCAATTGCCTGGCACTTTAAGGTACTGTACAACTTGGCAAAATCCAACTCGTGGGCGCGAGCTGTGGTTGCCCTCGTCCACTTAAACGAGCGCACTGCCTGCTTCAGCCAACGCCTTTGGTCTTGGTCAGTCTGGCGCTCAATTGGCACAAGGTTCCCATGTTTCACGTTCTCTGCTCGTACAGCTTTGAGACCTTCCGCGAGGGATCCCTTTTCCTGCGCTAGATCGTACAAGGACAATGCATTTAAGTGTTCTAGTGTAGCTTCCTGTGCTTCTTCGCCATGAAAAATACTGAGCATAAAGACGTTCACTTCTTCCAGGTTTTTGAAGAACCTTGGATTCGCCTGCACCTTCCGTTTGTAGTAAGTCCGGGCTTGGCCAGCCAGAATATTCTCTACGTTCCTCAATGCCGCGTGTTCCGGCACGCCCCACTGGGTGACACAGTTCATATAAGAGCTGAATATGTCCTCCCAATTTTCCCCATCATCCCCCCCGAATTTGTCACTGCGATCCTTGAACCTCGTCCCAAGCCTGCTAAGGACGGAAACGGCATGTGGGGATACAGTGGTTGACGTCGTGGCGTGCTGGGCGGATTGGTGCTGTTGCCTGTTGGAATTTCGACGATGGAGAGCAGTGTACGTCTCATGTGTACCTGTTGGGGCACCTGGAGGTACGAACCTAAACGGCCCCTCTTGAAATCCGACGTCTGCGTTCGTGGTGTCAACTGGCGCTGGACGGTCCAATTCCTGAGTGCGTCTCTGCAGATACATTCTGGCTGGTGCAGTAGCCTGTGTTCGCTGCAAGTATGGAGTAGAATATTGCTCTACTCCTCCCCTGCCGTCGTCGCTTGATCGCGAAGAACTTCTTGCATACTCGATACGGCGTGACGACAATGTCGGGATCTCTTGCTCCACAGCCTCACGAGCGAGGTCGGTTGCATCCTGGGTGGACTGCGGGTCGCTATAGTACTCGCTGAGGGCACGCTTTATCTGCAGCCCTCTGCGTTTTTCAATTCCGCCCTGTCTATCGTGGATGAGATCTCGCAAGTCCTTGTACATCTGCGGTGCAAACGAGCCGTGTATAACCTCTCTAGAGGACAGAGTCTCTGGAGGAAGCAGGTCGGTGTATGCCTCTTGGAGCGCGCCCCCAACATATCCCTTCTGCATCACTGAGCACATCCCCTGAAACACGTAGGCTTGTTTCGGACTAGTGTCATCAGGCCTCCATGTGACGTTCTGCATCATTTCCTCTACGACGGCCGCAGGAATATGCGTCAAGTTGACAGTCGGAGGAGCGGACACATGGTGTGCTGTATCCTCGATCGTTGGCGTTGGCGGTGTCGCGTCAATCGAGTCTTCTGTAGCGCCTTGAGGCGCCTCCGGGTTCGACATGGTGCTCCAGCCTTTTCACAGTCCACGAGTGTCAGCTGACAATTCCGGAATGTAGTTAGACTGATGCTAATGAACCTGGCGGAGCAGAACCCACGTCGCCTCTCGTCGCGCGGTGAAGGGGGATCGGTAGAGGGTAGAGAACCGGGAAGAAACAGTAAACAAAGAGATTGAGAGGAATGGGAGCCTTTGAGGCTTCCGTATCGCTTTAATTAAGCAATACAGAAACTAGGCGTATCAGGGTTTTTTCTTCTTCTTCGCTAGAGAAAGATAAGTACTTAAACACTATCTGCATAGATAGCTGCGCCCCTTCATTCCTCCCTCTTCGCCCGAACTTTCTCGCCCTCCACGTCCAGCATGGCTGAGGGACTTTGCCAAGCCACATTTTCATTCCAACACAACCCGTCTGTCGCAATCCCTGCATTCCTCCCTATTTCCAGGTACTTCTAGGCAGAATTGCGCCCGGTTGAGTGTCATGCCCGTTGGGCACCGCCACTTTCTGTCCGCAGTGGAGCGTGCCCCCTCCGGCCCGACTGGCCTTACAGCGGTCCCATCTGCTACTGTAATTGACTCCACGTGTCCACCTGTCTTACTATCATACGCACCGTTCTTTTTCCAACCGTTGTACAGTAGCATCAACGTGCGGCTCCACGAACAGATACAGGTCGGTCTTGTTATCGGGAGCATTTGGGTGAGAACCACAATTCTGGTGAGGTCTGTGCCTCACTACAGGATAGTGAACTCGAGTTTTGAGACCGTGGGACAAACCTCGAATGTTGTCTCTTTTCTTGCATCTTGATTAGAAGCTATGTATTCTCGCAGTTGTAAGAATACTTTGATGCCCTGTAGCGTTAAGTGCAGTATTTGACCGTTACAACCGATTCGTCTCTTTTGTATTTTCAAAAAAGTAGAATTTCAGGGCCTCTGGTGAGGACCACCCGGGTCTCATATGAGCACAAATGTTGTACGCTTGGACACTAGGTCTTGAGAGCAGTCACGGTCCACCACATCAGATATGATGTGGGCAGTGGAAAACAGAATGTCTACGAAATGACGTTTTCAATTGCATTTGCTTTAAATGATATCGCATATACAGCATAACCTCGTAAATCACTACAAACTGCCGAACTCGGCCTTCACTACAGTAATCCTTTCAGTTCCTCAGATATGCGACAAAAGTGAAGTTACAGCTCTTCCTCATCAGACATAGCACCTGCCCCTTGTGCATATGACCTGCTGGGCAACCTTTGCTCGATACGCGCACGCCTGCGAACCCGGTAGCGCTCCTGAACAGGGCGCCGTTTCACAGCTGTACTTTGCATTATGTGAAAACGCCTGTTTAAAATTTGCCTCCGCCTCGCACCATCTTCTTCTCTAAGCGGGTGATGAAGCACATGCGCGTTCGTCAAGGCCAATGTGAATTGAAAAAACATGTTGTAGTTAGACTCAGCCCACCTCCACTTGTTCGCCATTAGAACCCAAAGTGTGCACTGTCGACCAAAATAGTTTTCGACAATAATGCGGTCGGACGAAATTTCTCGGTTACCATGGACCTCTTCCGTTGTCAACTCTCGACCCCTTGGCTTCTTGACAGGAATGATAGCGCGTACCTCCCGAGCAGCCCCCTGATAGCCCTTGTCCATCAGGACAGCCCAATATCTGGGAAACCGCTGGACTAGAGGTCCAACATCAGTCACACTGCGCTCTGTCTGAGCTTTGCGGAGTTCCAACTTGTGCCACTCGAGGTTATCATAAAATATATCGACATCGGCGACTGATCCCATAAAATGTCTACTTGCCCCAATGGCTAGACCATTTGGCAACACACCCACCTCGGTCTTATACCCGTACATTTTGTGTTTTCCACTAAAATGACCTTTGGCTTCCTCGTGATTTCCGCGTGGACGGTTGCTTTGGTGAAACGTCACGTCTGTGGCATACCTCGCCATGCCGTATACACGAAAGTGTGACTGATCCTCAAAAATTCGTGACATTGTGAACTTATCTGCAGCGCGTTCGACGTACGTTTTATACGCAAAGGGGGTGACCATGCGGATAAAACTCGTGACCAGCCTTTCGAAGGACGTGCTCTTCATGTTGAACATCTTGGCTGCAAAGTCCCACATGGTCCCGTTTTTGCACACGCATAACGCCATAAACAAAACATCCTTGGCCTTATATTTCGAACGTTTACCACGACCGACGTTGTAGTGTTGGGCTATAAAGGGGCGAAGACGGTCATAAAGCCCTCGATACTCCGCCAGTGTAAAGTTCGTCATCTGTAGCACTGCGATTTCCCCCCCGTCCGCAACGAAAGAGTCAAGAATTGGGCAATCTGAGTCAGTCTCTTCATCGCTGTCAATTTCCGCAGCGTCATAATCGTACTGGTTGAGCTCGTTGCTCCGCTCTGCAGCCAATTCCGCGAGAAGCCGAAGCGCGTCTCCAGGTGATGTGTCGACGTTGTGGCTCATCGTGCGGTGTTGGATCTCGAGACTGCTTGAAGGCGAAAGTGGTACTGTACTGCACATGACTCTTATTGCGAAAAGGATTAGGCGGGTTCTGTGATTTTTTTTGAAAATGGGCGGGAAGAGAAATCGCGCATGCACTTCGGACATGCTGTCAAATTCGTGGTCTATGACTGTCTGGGCAATACGTATCTATTTTGAGAGGTTACAGCGCTGTCAAAAGATCGCGGACAATATCATCTGTTTGTCAATCTTTAGTGTAATGATACAGTTTCTCAGTAATTGTCTAATATTTGGGGTGGTGTTTAGCGCTCAACAGGTACAGCAAGGACTCAACGGAGAACAGGTAATCACTTTGCAAAAGGTGCATGCCTACTGAAAAGGTCTACTAGGGGCAGATGATCCACTACCCTTCCTCCCACGGGTACAGCTCGATCCGCTCACGACAGATAAACATCTAGCGCGACGTGTACAGTTGAGCTACTGTAATGATACGGTGAGATCACGGCAGAATGTCGGCAAGGCCGAAAGATCAAAGATGAGAAGAAATAAAATTCGCGGATTTTTGTGTTATGATAATGCTTGGTCGGATAGACACTAGTCAAATTACCTTTCACGACGTACTGTAACGGTTGCTAGCTAGCTACAGTAGCTAGAGCAGAGAGGAGGCAGAAAGTTACAAGCCCTGCCCCCCACCGCATTGCGATGATGGTCATGGCACTCCTCTTACGCTATAGCTCCGCTGATATGGTAAAACAGTTCTGCTCTCCACCGAACGCACGCCCAGAGCTCTAAGCGTTGGATGCTACGATCAGAATATGAATTTTATTTCAGAGAAAGGCGAAATCCGCATCTTAACGAAACTCCGTATGGAAGAAAGACTTGTCTTTCAGTCGATCATGTCGACAAACAACAAACAACAGTTCCTTGCCGCTCCATGAAGCACCCGTTTTGATACAGGGTCATATATACAAAATGAATTTGTTATTAACCAGTTGAGATACCCATAAACCGTAAAGGAATGTAGGCTTTCTGCTCCTGCGAGTGACGCAGAAGAGAAAAAACGTTGTGCGTGGTGTTTGAAAGAGTGCATGACCAGCACACCCTGCATCTTCAGGTCTGTACCTCCCCTGAAACTCGACCACTCTCGACAAGAACGTTCAAGTCAATCAACGAAAAGCACATCTCATCTCTCACTCTGAGACATACGCTCCAAGCAGTCGTCCTTTCTTCTGTTCACAATCTCATAGAGCATCTTCAAAATTCCATCTACATCTACGTGATTGTTCTGCGCCCCCAAATGGAGCCCCTCAACCATAAACAGGTGATATCTAAGCCCGAAGTTAATTGCTGTCTTCTTGTAGTGCAGCCCCCATCCGATGTGCACCACATCCGTGTCCGGCCTACAGAACATCAAGTTCTGAAACCCTCCCCCATGCATTCCAACAACAATACTAGCCTTATCAAAAATGCCGACCGCCTCGACCGTCTTCGCCTTCGGGGGATACACGACCAGATCATACGCCTTCCCAAACCGTTGCTCAATCCCCTCCTTCAGCTCCTTGAAGTTGGAAATGCAGCGGTTCCCGCGACATCCGAACGGCCCCCGCCCCAGCGCGCGCTCCAGCAACACAATTATCGGCTTCCCCTCTCTCTTACAGAGTTGCGGCAACACTCGCTCGAGCACTTGCGCTGTCCCAACATCCTCATACACTGACTTCGACGGAAACGGAAACTTCTTCAATAGCGTCATCGTCTGGTTCTGCCTTTCTTGCCCATAATTCAGAACCGCGCTCTTCAGCATGAGTGCTACAGCGCGCTCGATACAGTCTGGATTGTAGTACTTCCGTTTACCTACTGTATCCTGAAACATCGGGGGTGGATACAATAGAAGTTTTGCAAACCTGAACGAAAAACGCTTCCCGGTGCGCACAATTCGCTGCGGATCTAGGCCGAACAGTACGAGCAGATCTTCTACAAGGTTGGAGTCGTCAATGGCGACCCTGATATGCGGGAACTGCTTTAACATAGCATGGACGGCGAGGTAGCGCGGAAGGGCATCAAAGAGCGCATGGTGATAGGTTTCTCCGTGATGCTGGGCGAGCACAAGCACGATGTCGTTTCGATTTGTATTGAAAGAAACTATCGCGTTGCCGTCGATGCGGAAGGTCTTTTCAGGCAGCTTCCATTCCCAATCATCCTCACAGCAGCCACCCCCGAGCTCGTGGGCGACGTTTAAATTCGGGTCGTAGACAGTGCCGAATTTGCCGTAGTAGACGTTTTGAAGGACGCGGAGAGCGACAGGCCGAAGCTTTTGCTGGTGACAGAACGGGAGGCGGGCGAGAGCGTGGAGGTGGAGGGGGTGGTCAGGCTCGGTGGAGAGGAAGAAACGTTTGGAATAGGAAGAGTCGCGATCGTAGGCTACGGTGAGGCCGGGGGAGGGATTGGAGGGACGGAGAGTGGCGTAGGAGATGCGAGATTGCGCGAGTGTGGCAGAGGATAGTAAGGAGTGGAGAGAGTAGTTAAAGTCATTGCAGGCGTCAGAAGAAGGGGTGAGAACTGGCGAGGAAGCGTTGGTAGGGGCGTGGGGGTAAAAGGTGGAAATGATGGCGGGGTTGACGAGGAGAACAGGGTTAGAGCGCTTTTCAAAATGGAATTTGAGATGCAAGGGTACGCGGGAGAAGTGCAGGATAAGGACACTGGAGAGGATGAGAATGGAAATTTTTGGGAGCCAGGAATGCAATGAGGTCTGGGGTATCATGGTGTTGCCCTGATGAGTTGGTGGCCTGAGAACGCGAGAGCTCTCGCGGGAAACGATGGTGGTGTACTGGGAGCTTCCGGAAATTGTTTTGGCTAATTGTTGATATCAGGGGGCAACAACAACGTGAGAAAAGTGAAAATAAGAACTCAACAAAACAAACAACTCAACAAACAAGGGCAGATGATGAGTGTTTCCACCGGCAACCGTTTGCCGTCCGCTGTCCACGCCCGCCGTCCGGTATCCGGTATCCGCCATCCGCTATTCGCCGTCCGCCGGATGTTTGGAGCCGACCAATGACAGGCTCAGATATTGGAGATTTTTCTGGCAGGTCGCACTGTGTACATCGGCTAAGAGCATCTCCACCGCATAGGCAAATTGTTTCTATATTTGGACACTTGTCAGGCTCCCACATGGGCATTCGTTTTGCGCATTCTGTTTGCGAAAGTACCACAAATCGCCGTTGCGCAAATCGCGTCGCGGTCTCCACCGCGCACTGCGTCGCACCCGCCCCCGATCCGCGCCCAGACTTCCCGCGCCCCGACTTCTGGGCCGCCCCCCACCCCGACCAGCAGGACACAAAGCCGAGGTCCAGTTCGTCGACGCTGACCTCTTCCACCCAGACTTGTCCTCGCCGCCCGAAGCGAACCCGGCCGCGTCGCCACCCACGCCTTTGCCAGATGGTCGAGTTCAGTTAGCCCCATCCACGCCCGCGGACTCCCATAATAAATGAGTGTTAACGCGTGCACAATGTCTGCGTGCGGGTGGATGCGGGCATGTGCAGTGCGAGCATAGACCGTCCACTGCGCATTTGGCATGCTCAGACGTTTTGGGCGGGTCAGGTGTACCCGTGGCTTCCCGCGTTCTTGCTGTTTCGGCGTCTAAAAGTAACAAAAAATCAGCCCGTTCAAGCAGAAGAGTGTTGCCAAAAAATGGGATTTGTGACGTGACGCGCCACAAAATCAAAAAATATGTGTGCCGTCAAGGCACAAATCCTATTTATCATACGATTTGTGAAACAGATTTGTGTGCAGATTTGCGCGGTGGAGACCAAACTCAAGCCTGAGTCGCCATATTTTAGAAATGGCCACAATTTGCCTGCGCGGTGGAGATGCTCTAAAGATAGAGGTACAAACTCTTGTCCGAAAACTTATCTCTTATCGCGTTTCGCACCGTTACCAGTAGCGTATCCCTCCTTCTGCTCCTGTCCAAATGATTACATGATCATCAGCACAGCTTGTACTTTTCGTATCGAGAATCCTTTTCCCTGTCCTATGAAGCTAATCTGTTGCACGTCTACTGAAAATGTACCAACTGTGGTTCAGTCTCTCATTACCAATTACATACAAGGCACAAATTTAGCTCCTGAGTCAGTGTGCGTTTTGGAATCATGACTTCCCCGTAGCCTCTTGAAACGTTTAGCCCTCTGTCTCCTGCTTTCAGATCTGACGCGAATCCCTTTCCTCTTCTGTATCAGCTGGCGAACGTCCCGTATGCACAATATTCCTTCTCGTCCGCAGCAAAGCTCGAGGCTTTCTTTGCATAACTTCATGTGAACCCCTTCGTTGCTGTCTATTAGAGTTCTTTTAAAAGCATTTAGAACTACTGAATGCTCTGCCCCTCGATTGCCGATGAAGTGCACAACAAAAATACCATCCTTGAAATGGATCAGTCTTTCGATAGCTTTGCTTGGGGAACAAGACTGCCAATAACCATCAACCTGGCAATGCCGCAGCTCAAAGCCGGGCTCTTCTCTCGTAGCCAAACCCGCCAGTTCATTCTCTAAAAAATTTGCTAAGGTCACGAAATTGTCGTCCTGTAAACAATGGTGCATACTTGATTATCTTTTCTGTGAAACATTCGCCCTTTAGTTCGCAAATTGCATTGAATAAAGAATCTTCTGCGCAATTTCCTGTTTTACCCCCACAAAAACTTTAACATGCGGTTCGATTCTGAATTGCTTTGTTTTTATCGTACTTCCCCGAGCACCAAGACTGCCAACTTGTCGAATGTATCCAGGCTGTTCAGAACCATAGGCATCTAGAGCATCTAAAATCTCAATCCGTGATGGGGCCACCATCGAAAACCGGGAGGAATCTTCGCCGTCGGTTTCAGTGTACCGAGATATGTGGGATAGATCACATAAACGCTGTAATCCGGAAAATCGATCTATTTTGAGACCACACAAGTCAATCTCATGCCATTCGCCATCATCTTGGGATGTTATGTTTTCCCCTGATTTTTACTCGACCCATAATATCTGCCCGGAGTAAAACCAAGGCTTTCTTGCATTTTTCCAGCATACAACATATATAATACATTCCAACCTCTGGTGTTTTTGGTTTTCCTGTTGATATTGTTTAAGGAAAGACGGTGCACCGCATCACAATCTAGGCTTCGGTTAGGTAGAGCGTCCAACCATTTACAAATGCTTTTCCCCATCAAAGCTAAAAACCGTTCTCTGTCCATTTTCACAAGAGTGCTACCGAATTCGAAATGGATAAACCAGTCGGCGTTGCGCGGATTTCCTTCACTTCTCCACATTTTCTTCCAATCCTTCCTTCTTGCAAGCTCGTCGTATCCTCTTTTTATATTTTTTTGTGTCAGAATCTGAATCTCTCGTTCCTGTTCTTGTCTTCTAGCCATTCGTATGTTGTAAAGTAAAAACGTTTGATGCAATTAACGATAAAAGGATACTTACTACCTACATTAGTACTACTTTAATATTGCCATTTTCCGAACAGTTCTTTCTCTGCCCGCCATGATAAAAATCATCAGTACATGATGGCATGACAAATTTTGTACAAACATTAAATGTCACTTTATGTACACTCGATTGCACATAGAGGGACATGTAATTTTTGATCACAAGTCTTGTACACAATTATTTTGTCCCTTTTGAGTATGCCGTGTCTCATTTTTCTTCCGTCTGATTACAAATATAAAGATTGAGACATGGATACACTACAGTTTGATATCAGGCGCCGCATGACGCAGTAACGTATTGAGTCTGATTCTGTTTGGAAGTATTTAATGGTCGCCACCGTAACCATTTTGCTCAGAAACAAATGTATGTAGTGTCACGCCCCTTTATAGCTGGTTAAGAGAAGTGAAATGCCTTCTTTTGAGAAGTGCACGAAAGCACTTGGGACCAATAAACGGTGATTACGAGTGGAGGTTCAATTTGCTAGGTAATAATATCTGTAAACGGACGCCGAGAAATGCGTCCCTCAAAACCATATGGCTGCGACCATTAAATGAGGCTTGACTCAAATAGACTGTCCTTCTGTTCTAAGCACTCTGAGGCCTATTGAAGCCTACATAACATCTCATAATCAAGTGGTCATTTCGCGCACCATGTAATTCAGCACGTGCATAACGTGCTGAATTGCATGGTGCACACTTGTTGCGATATGATGAGCACTTTGAAGTGTAAAAATTATCCGCTTCCATCCAAGTAATCCTGAACATAACCGTAAGAGATGAGCTGTTTTATTCGCGCTGCTCTGAAAAATAGGACTGCTGCAACAGTACGACTACATGTATTAAAATGCATTCCATCTGTGGTACAGTTCGGCAACTAGTCTTCTACATGGACAAACTGTATGAACTGAACTTCCAATTCAGTTCATGTCGCATCAATGTTTTGATATGTGTTACAAGGCAGTCGGAAGAGACATCAAAAACTTTTAGGGCAGGTTTTTCGGTCTCTTAACCGAGTCGAGGGTTCTTCGGACTGATGTTACAAAGGGGCTTTTGATGTGCTAGCCATTATTCAGAGGTCCGCCACACTGCCCCTAAGTAGTATTTTTCGTATGGAACGACTGTTAAATTTTCAAAGCCTGGGATAATATGAAAATTAAATACCAATCATGCGCAGGTTGCTAAAACGTCAAAACCTTAGGGGTTTTCACAAAAATGACCATGACATTCATGTGGGAATATAAAGATTTCATCAATGGAGTCCGCTTGGGTTGTTGATTGTACGTAGCAAACCCTAACATCAATTAGTGCTTTACCGCAGAGAGCACGAAGAGAACTAAACTGCGCAGAGACGGAGAAACAAAATTCATTGAATTGGCAATTGAATGAGGCCCAAAGGCCAAAATATTTTTTTGGCCTAGACGGCGCCTCCAACCCCACCCGGAAAGCCAAAAATAAGTTCGCGGCATAAATTGAATATGATTTTTTGGGGTCTCGGATAGACACCAAAACCAAGGGCGGTACTCTCGATCGATCGTTCTTCTCTTTCACCCCACGGAGGTCGAAGAACGACGATCAGTTGACTTCGGAAACGCGATATCTGCATACACGCAGTATAAAGCCATACATTTGTGTCAAGTTTAAGGAAGCGTAATGGAGCACAGTTTTGCGGATCCTAATGATGCCCTTGCTCAAGACATATCGGCAGATATCTGTATGTTTGTCGAGGCGGTCAATGACAAGACGATCAACTATGCAGAGTATGAGAAGAATCGTGTTGATGAAGGGGTAGGGTGCAAACGAAACAGAGATTCATCGCTGCATTCTGTGAGTAAGCCTCTGCTACAGTCTCCCGATGATTTACCTCAAGACCACAGTGAAGTTCGAACAGCTTGTCATGTGAACAATCGAATCAAGAGAAGCGAAAGGCTCGTCGGTCCAGCCGCACAAACGTCATTGGAACATAATAATAAGCAATACGACTTGAGTTCTCCCAATCCGTCTGTTGTGGGGCGCGGCAGTGCCACTGCCTTTGCATCAATGAGCAAGCGGGATCTCATTTCTCTTCTGGGAAATACGGGTCCTCAGATAAATGATGATCAACATGTGAAAAGCAAATGCAACGTGCCTTATCGTGAAGGGGATTTGGATTTCTATTCGAAACCCCCGAATCAAGTCGTGTCCTTCTCAGTTGATGAGATATCAAAGAACTGGATGTATCGCAGCGAACATGGAGATTTCATCCAAGTACCATTCGGGAGTACTGTCTGGATGAGTAAGTGGCTCTTACAGAAGAAAAAATAATTGCCCCCTCCTTTTCCCCTGTGCGATAGTGGCAGGTCACGTCACTTCGATCAGGAGGTAGAGCTCGCCGATCCAAAAGAACGAAACGAATC